GCCCGGCGCCTCCATTTTATTTTATTTTATTTTTTTGAGACAGAGTCTAGCTCTGTCACCCAGGCTGGAGTTCACTGGCATGATCTTGGCTCACTGCAGCCTCTGCCTCCCTGGTTCAAGTGATTCTCGTGCCTCAGCCTCCCGAGTAGCTGGGATTACAGGTGTGCACCACCACAGCTGATTAATTTTCATATTTTTAGCAGACAGGGTTTCACCCTGTTGCCCAGGCTGGTCTTCAACTCCTGACCTCAAGTGACCCACCCGCCTCAGCCTCCCAAAATGCTGGGATTACAGGTGTGAGCCACCACACTCGGCCTGCCTCCATTTTAAGCCAGAGGGGCAGCGACCCCTTCCCCACGCCACTGCAGGGCCACGCAGAGGGTGAGGGCAAGACGGGAGACCCTGCGCACTACCTCGTTGGCGTCGATGCCGCTGTTGACGGCCCACGTGGTCTGGAAGTATTCGAGCATGCGCTGCTTGAGCGGCCGCGGCAGGCGGTGCACACTGATGAAGTCCTTGAGGTCCTTCATGCGGCTGTGGTAGAGCGAGCGGCGCGAGTACATGCGCTGGATGATGGCTGTCACGTTCCCGAACACCACAGCGTGCATCAGGGCTGGGGCAGCAACAGCGGGCTGGTCAGGACCGGCCACCCTCTGGCCACCTCCCCAGCTTCCAAACCCACCGTGTCCTGGCCAAGAGCCAGTGGGCTCCTGTGTGCCTACTAGGTGCCAGGCACTAGACTAGGGATGGGGAATAGGGAGTGGTCCAGAGATGGGTAACACCCCATGCTCCTCTCAGGCCTCCCCATCATTAGGTCATGAACCTGGGTTTCCCATCCCTTTTGCAAGAGGCCACGCCTGGTTGTGGCATCCCCAGGGCCAGCACATAGTGGGCACTCAGGAAACGTCCATGAATGAATGCGTGACTGTCTGGACTTGGGTAGACACCTCGAGCAGATGCCTTGCCCTCTCTGGGCCTCAGTTTCCCCGTGCACGCTGGGCTTCGCAGGGCCCCACTGAGGCGTGGCAGGTCTGGCCTCACCGCCTATGAGCATCGTGCAGATGGAGAAGATCTTCTCGGCGTCGGTGTTGGCACACACGTTGCCAAAGCCTACGCTGGTAAGGCTGCTTAGAGTGAAGTACAGTGCCGCAATGTAGGCGCTGCGCCGCGATGGGCCGCCCACTGAGCCATTGACGTAGGGCACCTCCAGACGCTTGCCCAGCTCGTGCAACCAGCCTGCAGGGTGGATGGATGCAGGGAGCCCTGGCTGTGCCAGCGGTGGAGAACCAGGGTTCCCTGAGCCACCTGTGCTTGACCTTCGGCAAGTATTTATACACAGGTTAGCACAGGAACTGTGGGGAACGGTCTGGGCCTGTGCCTCCCTATGGTGCACTGGTTACAGTTGCAGTCCAAGGCCGTCAACTCACTATACTGCTGACTGTTCAAAGGCTCCTGAAACTTACTAATAGTTTATTGTGCACCTGCTGTATACAAAGTGTTGGGGAATTGACCCAGCCAAACACTCTCCCTGCCCTGGTGGAACCTATAGCCTGGAGGGAAAAAAGACATGACATAAATCATTACAGGTGGGGGGTGAGCTCCTGGAAGGAAAGTATTGTATAGGGTGTGTTGGGAATCCCAATAGGTTAGGGAAAGCCAACCCACTGGCAGCTGGGGGGTTCTGGACATGGTGCCTGGAAGGCATGCTCCTTAGGACGGGGCATTTTGACTGAGACACATGGAACCAAAGGAACATTGGTTCCAAGTGAGGCAGGGAATAGAAAATCCATCTAGGTGGAGAGGGAAGACAAAAGAGGGAGGATGCCAGAGAGGAAAACAACATGTTCCAGGCCCAGCGTGAGAAAGCAGTATGTCCTGGGTCCAGGGGAGAGGCTGGTGTGACTGCGACGCAGGGAGCATGGGAGAACGGGAAGGCAGGTGGGAGAGAGGGGGCACAGGGCTGCCCAGGGTGTGCACTGAGTGTGGACTTCATTTGGAGGGCAGTGGGAAGCCACTGAAGGAATCCCAGCAGGAGTGTGGCAGGTCAACGTTGAATCCTAGAACCCATTTGGCTGTGGTGAGAAGAGTGGTTGTGGGAGGGACGAGAAGGGGGTTGGGAGATCAGCAGGGAGGCTATTGCACAGGCCTGGGTGAGAAAGGGAGGTGGAGTGGACTTGGAAGGGGAAGACAGGATGGAGAGAAAAGGTCAGATTCAAGGGACATTTGAGAGGTGGTATTGATGTGGTGGGCTGGGTGTGGGGTGAAGGAGCGGGAGGTGTCAGGGACCATGCCCAGGATCTGACAGGCCTTTCAGAGGGATTGCAAGGGCCTGGGGCTGTCTCCTGGCCCATGGCTATGAAGCCTGGAGAAGGAGGAATTAATGGGGGCAAAGATGCCAGGCTCTTTCAGGGACTTTTCACGTGCTGCTCCTTCTGCCTGAAACACATCCCTCCACCATCAGTGTTTCCTGCATTGTACTTTGATCATGATCACTGGTCTTGCTCCCCTGCTAAGCTGTGAGTTCCCCCCACCAGCCCCCCAAAACAGAGCCCTTGTCTGCAAATCAATATCCCCATGCTTGATCCAGAAATAGCTCAACGCATGTTTGTTGGATGGATAGAGGAATGTGGGATGAGGGGTGTGGGTACTGGTGGAGGCATCAGCTTGGGGATGGGACAGATGGACAGGTGGTCTGTGAAAGTCTGGGGTCGGTGGCTCACCAATGTCCCAGAGCAGCGGGTCATTGGCCTCCATCTCCCGGCGCCCGATGACGTACCAGATGCAGGCCATCCAGTGGGCAAGGAGCGCAAAGACCGACATGAGCAGCGTGAGCACCACAGCACTGCACTGAGAGTACCGCTCCAGCTTCTGCAGCAGCCGCAGCAGCCGCAGCAGCCGCACTGTCTTCAGCAGGTGCACCAGCGAGGTCTGCGGGAGGGTGGCGGGGGAGGCTGTCAGCAGGCATACCTCCTCCGAGCCCTCAGTCCCCTCCCAGGGCCTTCCCACCAGACACCCTGGAGCCAGCGGAGGCCGCAACAGGAAAGACATCATTGCCGTCCTGAGAAAGTGGCCAGGGAATGCAGCAGGAAGGGAATAATAACAATAAAACAAACAGCGGCTAACGCTTAGTAATTATTTTCCTTTTTTTTTCTTTTCTTTTTCTTTCTTTCTCTCTCTTTTTTTTTTTTTTTTTTGAGACAGAGTCTCACTCTGTAGCCAGGCTGGAGTGCAGTGGCGCCATTTCACCTCACTGCAACCTCTGTCTCCCAGGTTCAAGCAATTCAAGGCTGCCTCAGCCTCCCTCCCCAGCTAATTTTTGTATTTTTAGTAGAGATGGGGTTTCACTACGTTGGCCAGGATGGTCTCGATCTCCTGACCCCGTGATCCACCCTCCTTGGCCTCCCAAAGTGCTGGGATTACAAGGGTGAGCCACTGTGCCTGGCCTTAGTAAGTACATTCTATGTGCTTAGCCAGGCACTGTGCTAAGCATTTGTAATCCTTATTTAACAATACACACACACACACACACACAAAATTATACCTTTAGTTCAATTATCATCATCATTCCCAATTTGCAGATGAATGAACTAAGGCTCAGAGAGGCTAATGACTTGTTCAAGGTCACAGACCAAAGACATGATAGAGCTGACACTCAGGGTGGCCATCTGGGCTAATTGACACCACAGTCCACCTTGTGCTCTAGGGCCACTAAGCACTGGGAGATGGTAGGGGAGCCAGCCCTGGTCAGAGTCAGGGGATAGGCAATGGTCTCTGCAGAGCCCCAGTAGCGACGGCAGCAATTGTGATGGGGACCACTCTTCAAGACATGGAGAAGCATAGTGGAGTGGGGACAGGCAAGGACTTGAGGGCTGGGGGAGGTTTATGGACACTTCCTCTTGCGGATCAGCTGCAGATGAAGAGTCAAGCAGAAGAGTTGAGGGGGCAGGAGAGCAGGGACTGAGGGAGCCTGGGCTGTGCTAGGGGTTGACGGAGATAATGGTACCTCGTAAGTGTCCCATATTCACTAATATTACCCCAAGTACCATCTGCATTGTGGTTATCAATATTGATCAGCCCTTCAATCTTGGAGATGGGGAGGGCTTATCTTCTGGGTGGGAGCAGCATGGCAGCTCGGACTGGAAGCTCTGGGGCAGTGCCTGGGGAACCTGGAATGAAAGCCCCTCACTGCCCCTTCCTGGGCCTCCAGGAGCAATTCCCATAGCCCTGGTCCTACACCGCTTCTGTACCATCTCGTGCAATTTTTCTCTAATTTTAGGTGAAGGAACTGGAAAGGAGGTGGCTCTGATTCCTCCACATGGACCCTCGCCAGGGTTTAATGCCTACCCCCAGCTCCCAGAGCACTTGACTGCAAGCTTGAGTTCTTCAGGGCTTCCCTCAGTCAACTGCCCTTGGGCCCCACTCTCTTGGGGATACTCCTCTCATTCTCCTTGGACTAGAATATCCAGGCCTGGCTCCTTCAAGTCTGCAGCTCTGCCAGTGCCTGCTCATCTTCTGTCTCTGTCCTACCTCTCTCTGGCCCCCAGTGGTATTCCTCATCTCATCAGACCATCCACTCAGGGGCCCTGGTTACCTGGGAAGCAAGGTGGTATGTTGGAAAAAATACTAGACTGGAAGTTTAGAGAACTGATTCTTT